AGAAGCGTCAGCCCACAATTCCAACTCCTCTGGGTGCTTTTACTATGCGTGGGCATGGCCTTGCGGAATCCATCAGTCAAGCGTATAATTCTCCGACGCATCTGTATATTCCTCCCAGTTGCACATAGCGCGCTGATCCTCCTAGTCTACACACGACGTAGCCTCCGGCCCATAAACTCCGAACAATTGAATTTCTCCCATCATGGCTTCGGCGGCATAATACTGTATACTCAACTGAGACTATACGAATTCTTGGCTTTCTTGATTCTGGTCTTCACCTGTTTCGCCGTGGATCGTCACAGGAAATATCTGGAATCCGTCATAAATATTTATCTGACGAGACCACCGTCAACTCAGATACGAACATTTTTCTTCCTATGGCTTGTTTTCTGCGGCGTTTTTCCTCTGGGGAACTCCATTGCCAAGCTTCCCGCCCGCTGCCCGAAAACTGCTTTCCCGAGTGGAGACTTCTGGGGAAGGGGAGAATGCTTCTTGTCCCTCGCTCTATCGCATTGGGTCAGAGGGAACGGGCTCAGGATACCTCATACGCTCTACGGACTGGTTGCTTATTCGGTAAGGAACTGTGGAGGCGAGCGATTCTGCCGATCCGACATCTGATTCTGATCTGTCTCGATCTCCGGCGATGTGCCGAGCAAGATCAGAAAGTCGTGGAGGAAGCGTTCAGTCTACGACTATCTTGCAGGTCTACCTTCAGCTTCGGGCGTTCAACGGCGGACTCGAGCGAATCAACTTCAACCAGACGACCATTGAAAGAGTTTTCAACGAATATCGCAGCGTGAAGCGCCATTACTCTCGGCTGAACTCGATATTCTCAACAAGAACTGGGCTTTGGGTCTTATCCTCGATCCTGGTGCAGCTGAACGCCATCACTCTGACAATGATACGAAGCCAGAATGGGTCGTCGATCGGGGGGAAAGCGGCAGCTTTACTCGTCAATATGGCCGATTTGTTGATTATGAACGAAATTGCATCTTGGAGTTTCTCGGAAGCTCGGAAAACGAGGCGAATTCTCCAGAATCGACTGCTCGCTAACCTCAACGACATGGGTGAGCTGCGGTTGTTCACGGATGTGATGAGAGTGCCCATCGCCAATGTATTTCTGGCCGTATTCATTGGAATTCTCGATTTCGAATGCTCCTTCGCAGATGCAGGTGCAGCGTTTCAAATAATGGCTTTCATCGAGCGGCTGGGAGGGGACGAGTGTCACACGTTGCTCGTTGCGTCGAGTTTTCCTTTCTCGAGGTCGCAGTTGCTGACTTCCCTCGGCGGTGGCGCGGTCTACCTCATCTTTGTTCGTCAAATCGGATTCGACTTCAAGGATATTGAAATTTGAGCGTTCGCACAGTTCCGGGACCTCTAAAATCCTTCAACCCGTGAGACCACGGGGTCAACAGCTACGAAACTGCGAGTACGTTTTCACTAGTGCGGAAGAATGAAATTTTCGTGCAGTATCGTACTCATGTCGAGAGCGGCTCCAAGGTCACTGCGGAAAAGGTCAAGAATTTAATTTAGAGAGATTTCGTCGTCGTTCAGCATCAATCTCGGAGATGACGCAAGCACCCCAGATCTCGGTGAGTCCATTTCGAGTCACTAGTGGCTTTTGATAGGTGCCCTCTGCCGACATGAAGAAGAAGCGAGGACGAGACGTGAGGGTTCATTGTAATTGCGACACGGAGTCTTCGCCGAACCGATTCTCGTGTAAACTCAAAAGTCTTTCTTCGTTCATTCATGAGCGTTGGATTGTGGAGCGTTACGGAGTCGGATGTAAGGAGAAGGAATGAGGAGCAATTCAGAACAAGCCGGAACGGAAGGAAGATGCCATCCCATCCATTCACGGGACAGTCAGCCTCGGAAGCAGGAATGCGAACGAGGACCGGATGTGCGTCCGATGTTGTCCAGGCGAACACATGTGTCACACCGCCAAACTCGGATTGATCCTCGATACTCAAACCATCTATCCGACACACAGTCCGCATATTGGTGCATGCCCTTTTCCGAAGGCTCGAATCCCGATAAAATGTCGAATCCTTCCCAAATCCGATTTCCAGACGTCTCCGAATCGACATCGTGGATTGATCTTTCCATCCGCGTCGTTCCCTCTCCGGGGTCATCCGTTTTCGGCCCGAGACCTGGCGCATGTCTCGTTCCATCGGCCTCTCCGCTCACTTGAGCGTTTTTCGCTGTTTCTCAAGAGTCAGCATACCATCACGATATCATTAGCTCAATCCGCCCGAGCTCCTATCGAAAAAATCGATATGAGGGGATCGATTCCCACTTCTGTACGGATACTCGTCGCTGATTGATAAATTCCCCCGATTCTTCGAAATTGACTCGACAACGAGTTATCTACTACCTCTGACAGTTATCTACCTATTGTGAGTGGGACAAAGTCTTGTTCGATGGAGTGTGAGATCAAATGTCGTATCCAATCTCGTCGACCATCGAGTCGATCTCTTTTCTTGACGTCGAAGAGGAAGGATCGACATGGGAGGCTCATTTGGAAGAATCTCGTAACCCGTACAACGACGCCGGTGTTGCGTGATCCCGAGCGCAGACGCAGCCTAGCGCCGGGAGATGACTTGAAACTCATTGACCGGATCATAAGTATCGACTCGCGGACTCTGATTAGCTGCCGCCCAACGTGCCCTTGGCAGTGATTGTCTCACCTGAATTCCGAGCTCGGCCGTGAAGGCGGGATGACGTGTTCAGCAGAACGTAAAAGCCCAGGGGAATCGAAAAATCGGAAACCCGTTACGGCCGAGAAATCCAGCGCGTCCCGTTAAACGCAAAGGGTACAGCCGAATAACGTGGCGATCCCGGCTACGATCTGTTTTGGAAAACTGACTAGATAGGGTGATAGCTCTCGGTTAGTAGAAGACTTTTTCACGAGTCTCCCAGGAATCGACGCGGCCAGTTTCGAGAAAACGGCCAAAGTTCGAAAATCTTAAAATGCGATTTTCTCGAAAACGGTAAGAGCTAGAGGGTCGTGCTTGGTCTCGTTGGAAAGCTGGCGAAAAATGCCACAATTCTAGCCCGGTCCCATTTTCCTCAGTACTTTTCATCATCATTTTTTTCCGAATTTTAATTTTCTTCAAGCTCCCAGACACCGAAGACCTTCGTGAACATGGATGACACTATGTCACCAATAAACCCCGTAAACCCATGTACACGCACACCAAGTTTCATCAAAATCGGAATAGTCCAAATAGGTTCATTCGCGAACACTTCATTCCCTACCACTGATTTCCATGGTTTTTTGGTAAACGCCCATTGCC